TTGGTTTGAACAGGAACCTCGCTAGCCAGTCGTGAAAACCCTCGTGGAATCAAGTTGGTGCGTAAAAGAAAAACCAAACCAAGGTGCCTAATTTAAAATTAACCCAATAAAAAATTTGTCCCACGTGATAATTAATAAACTAAAATTAACTTACCCAAACTGTGGGCGATTTCCCTTGAAATAATACAAAAGATGCAACGCTATTAGTTTCGTCTCAATCCAGCCGTAGCTGTATGATATACATAATATCAATTAAACGTAGAGAATTATTAACCTTTCCCAAAATCAAATGAAAGGATTTTTCCAACTCAAAACGTGACTTCACTGCCAGCGTGCCGAAAAGAAAAGAAAGGAAATCACCAGACAGGTGGGCGCTTGGAATTTTTAATATCGATACCCCTTCCTGATATAAATTTAGCTATAAAATCCCTAGGTACATCCGCAACCAGTTAAGTACCAATGTTGCCAGGAGTAATCCGATAATAAAAGAAACTTAATAAATAAATCAAACAATAATAATAAGTTAAATGCAATTACAACTAGATACAATTGATAAGAGTTTAAGATCATTAATAAATAAAAGTATTAAAATAAGTTAAATGCTAAAATTAATTATTTAGAGACTAAATATGAATGAGGTGAAATATGATTTAAGAAAACTTCAAGAAGCTGGCAACACCGTTAGACCCGTTGATGATTTGACGTTTCTGCCCTAACCACAAATTAATTAATCTAAACAAAAATCACAATCAGATTATTTATTAATAATAATTATTGAAGGTATTATTGTTATTAAAAAGGTATGTACATCGTTTCTTATAATATAATTAATATAATATGATTTCCCTTTGGTAGCAACCAAACATCTAACAAAAATGCAATGAATATTTCCACTTGAACAGCAGTAAACAAATACCAAAAGTAAGTATATAAAGTGGTTATTATTAATATTACTTTAATTAACGTTATTTTAGATAAATAAGAAGTCTTTACACGATGCATTTTACTCCTTCCATAACCTGGAAGAATAATACCTCAAGATCGAGTCAAAGATATTATTTACAAAATATTACATTTGGCTAAAAATACAACAATATGAAGTTAAATTATGATTTAAAGTTAATGCACATTTACTTTGCATTTGTAAATAGAAAATAAATAAATAATTAATATGTATTAAGAAATGTATTGTTATATTTTATTAACGTGCCATCTTCAAGGTTATAAACAAAATAATAAATCACCACATTCACCATTTTGTCAAGATATATTAATTAAAATAAATATAAGAAAATTAATTCCCCTTTGAAATATATAACCGTAACAACCAATTAAATATACCACCATTATTTCCACCCAAAAATTAGTTAATTACATACTTAATAATTTTAATTAATAAATTATTCTAAATAAATGTGGATTTGAATCAGAAAGCAATATAATAATATGTTATGAAAATGAACGTCTCTGTTGTTCGTCAAAAAATGAAATAAAATTTATAAGATGTTACTTTTTACCACACTGTCTAATATACATACAAAATTCAGTTTTTAGTATTTGAAGCAATTATTACAAACAACGTAAACAGTCAATTAATGTAGTTTGAATACTGGGATCATATTAATTGGTCCTCTTTAACAAAAATATTTACACAGTTTTTTTCATATTTTAATGAAATAAACGAACTATATCGGCAATATTTTAGTATCTGTAAAAATTTATATGTATCTCTTGGAAAATTTGTTACATCTTTAAAAATATTCTAAAATGTCAATATTCCATGGGTATATTGATAAATGAGGTCTAAATTATAATAAAAGGCATTTTCTACGAAAACTTGAAGACAGGTAAAAAATAGTATACTACAATTTGATAGAGAACTAAATTGCGCATCTGGTTCACGTAAAATATACAGGGTGTTCCATTTAAATTAAACCAGTTATTTCCGTTTAAAACTAGTAATTATTTTATATACATTTTTAGACACACTGTATAAGGTAATATTTTGTTTATTATTGCAACACAATAACTGATCAATAAATAAACTTCAGTAAATATTTAGTTTTAAAAACTTTTAATACCCTTGGGGAAATTAAGCCTTAAAATTTTTACTACTATTTCATAAAATTGAAAATATTTCAAAAATGGTAAGGTTTAAGTATGATACACCTTAATCATAATCCTTTATTTCAATCGTAGAATCCAAAAACAGAATAATATACAGGGTGTTCCATTAAAAGAAAACACAACTATAACATTTTTTTATTTATTTGGGACACTGGGTATCTTGTAAAAATATTTTTAAATTGTAGCTCTAATAATTCTTTAACGAATCCAAAACTTACAATTTGTAAAAATCTTATCGTTTAGCTACAATACTCCGTGTCGTGTGTGGTGAACAACCCTGTATGTTTTAGAGCACTACTGGTTATAATAAATGTATTTTTTTCTGTAACAGAATTGTAGCGTAAATTTTATTCAAATTTTGCGAAAAAAGTGATTTTGATGTAATTATTTCTCATTGGCCAGTTTTTGCTGAAAAAAAACAAGAGAGAGATGTAAACTTCCTAGTTGCAGAGGATACGCCGATATTCGCCTATGAAAAATGTGGGGTGGTATTGTGCTTAAAAAAAATAAAAAAATTTAAAACTTTTCATGAATAAATATTAGTGATGGGATAACTCGAGCGAAAATTCGCTCGAGTACTCGATTATTGAAATAACCGACATCGCTCAATTATGAACTAGCGATGCAAGTGACGGGTACCAAGCGACGAACGCAAGCGATCCTAGAATGAAATAAATTTAAATCCGATTTTAATGTGACATACTCGATAAAAAAGCCAATTTTAGTAGCAAATTTATACGACGCCGTATATATATTTATCCGTTGCGTATCTGAGGGACAAAATTTTACGACTTACATCGACAAAACTTTAAAATAAACTATATCACGTGATCAAGCGAATCGTTCGCCGCTTGCTACTTGCCATTCATCACTGCGCACGCAACTTACTGCTTGGCGCTTGGCGTTAACGAGTACTTACAACAAGCGACGGGTGAAAAACTGTATTTTTAAATACTAGTGATATTTCGCTGGAGCAATCACTCAGTTTTTCTCATCACTAATAAATATGTTAACTTGCCTACAGTGATGCCAACTCGTGGGACATTTTCCGATTCGTGGGAAATTTCGAGTTCCAGTGGGAAAGGAAAATTTTAACTGAAAACACCATATGCGTGGGAAATTGTATATGAATGTATTATTCGTAAAATCCCTTCAAAAATATTTATACTATATTCAAATATTTACTATATTTTTAATCCAGCGAGATTATAAAAAAAGAG